CATTGATGCGAATAGATGATAATCGGACGGAGCCAAGTCTTAAAAATAAGCCGCATGCGTTAGTATTTCCTAACTGAACGCCTCGATCGTTTCCTTGACCCGTTTTGCTGTGTGTGATGGGGCATTATCATGGAGCAAAATGACTTTGTGTTGCTTTTTTCCACATTCCGGTCGTTTTTCACGCAATGCTCGATTTAAATCGATCATTTGCTGTTGGTAGCGATCAGTGTTAACGGTTTCACCAGGTTTTAGCAGCTCATAATAGATTACACCCTTCTGATCCCACCAAACACAGAGCATTGTCTTCTTTCCAAAGCGATTGCAGTGGATGTCGATGGTTCGCCTGGATTCACCCATGATTTCTGACGCTTAGGATTCTCAAAATATATCCATTTTTCATCACCTGTCATGATACGATGGACTTTCTTTTGTATCTGTCGAGCAGCATTTCACAAGTGGTTTTTCGATTTTCTTGCTGTCTTTCATTCAGTTCATGCGGAACCCATTTTCCCACTTTCTGAATCTTTCCCATGGCTTTCAAACGAATTGAGACAGCTTTCTGCGTCACATTCAATTCATCCGCGAGTTCTTGTTGAGTTTGAGTATCATCTTCATCCAATAAGGCTTGCAATTCGTTGTCTGCGAACTTTTTCGGTGGTTTCCCACGCTCTTCGTTTCTCACGTCAAAATCACCACTTTTGAATTTTTTGAACCACTTGAAACACTGCGTTTTATCAAAAGCATGTTCACCGTAAGCTTCAACAAGCATTCGATTCTGCAGCAGTTTTCTTCAAATGATAATAAAAAACCAAATGCTGTCCGCAAATCGTAGTTCGTAGGCACAAAACTCGACATGTTTAAGGTTATAGAAAAATATACCGGTGTATGGAACTTGGATTGTTGTGTGTTGAAAATCTTCGTCAGCTGTTAGAGGGAGATGATGGCGCTGCAGAAGCGGTCTTACAGTCCCTAAACTGATGGCTAGCACCATCTATAGAGAAATTCCGGTTTCATACTTCTACACCTGGTAATTAAACCAAGTGAACATAAAGCGAACGTTCCTCGAACATTTACGTGCTGCTTGGGATGTTATAATTTTTAACATAAAAGAAAATGTTTCACACTAAATATGGCATTCCATAAAGACATGAATATGATATCGCGTCTTTAATCTAATGGAATGTTCTCAATAATCAAATCGATATCATACTCACAACAATCGATATCAACTCACAGGAATGGCACAACAATGATGGCTTTGCAATTATGACATATATTTTTCTCTTGACGTCATTCGTCTTCAATATTTATATGTTTTGTTACATCGGTGAATTACTGACGGACCAGGTGCTTATATTTGAATATTTTCGGTAACACATCGAATCAGAGTAGAGAGTTTCCATGATACTTACATTATATTATTTACGAAATTGTCTGCACCTTATAAGTTGCGTATAATTAAGAAATATTAAATATTTATTAAATGAAATTAAACATTTAGTGCAGCAAAGTAGGATACACTTCGTACGAAATCGAGTGGTATCACTTACCGGGGAAAACTGCACTCGATCTTACCTTGATGATCAGCATGTCCCATAATCCGGTAAAAATCACGGCCGGGAAATTAATCAGCCTCTCGTTCACTAGTTTCGGTAACGTAAGTGATACTCATTATTATTTCGCACACGGAATAACAAATCGCTCGAGAAATGTCACGTAATACCTTTCGTTTTCATTACGGTTCGTAGGTCATGAAAACTTCGGTCGCGTATTTAAACTTACTGCGAACCGTCGTTTGATGTACGTGAAAAACTGGATTTCATTCTACATATTCATGATAATAACGAAAAAATTCAAATTCAGCGTGTCCTTTCTGTTGAAAAAGATTTACGCTGAACAAACATCACTCGAAATAAAATGTGAAATAAAACAACATGTACACTTATTCAATAAATCATTACGTATACAATTAACAAAACAAGCCGCACGTTGGTTTACATCGGACTGACTCACATCGTTAGCTCCGCGAGCAGGCAAATATTCACTGTGCTTAATCGATCCGCAAGATATTGTCTGCGCACAGAAAGATGCGTGCGGTTCAGGCGCATGTCTGGTGATCAATCCCGCACTCGCAACGCGCGCAGTCTTCGGTCTACTTCGGCACCGTGAACATGCAATCTGCGCGAAACGAGGAGTCGCAAAATTCCAATTATCAGCGAGACATACAAAATATCTTCAGACTGAACAAGTGGATCCTCGGTGTGATCGGTATCTGGCCAATCACCGTCCGTGGTGTCGGACATCACGCGCAGCTCATCATGATGGTGTTTTTTAACTTTGTGCTCATCTTCACGGTGATTCCCTGCTTTCTGCATATGATATTCGATCAGAAGAATATGATGCGAAGGCTGAAAATCGTTGGTCTGCTGAGCTTCTGTCTCACCGCTATGATCAAGTATTACCTCCTTACGATGCACAGACCGAAAATTCTGTACTGTATCGATTACGTGAAGAATGATTGGTGGCAGGTCGGTGTTATTGTATCTGATACAGCGAACTCATGTGAAGTAAATTCATGTGAAGGAATTTATTACGGAATAATGATACATTTAGTGGTCGTATTTGGTGAAAGAAAATAAGAAATTAAGATATTATAATTTTGTGTTAATTTTTCACATAATATTTGTATTATTTCTCAATATATTCACTTTGTGCTAAATTAACGCGAAAATTTCTGTAGACCGTTTGGCACGTGTGCGAAATGTATTAAATTTAACACAAAATTGTTCTATTGTGTACAAAGAATTATAATCTAAAGAGTAAAAGACAAAATTTGCTACGTTGTATATAATAGGTAGAATCTATTCCGTCTTTCGCGTATTTGTAAATAAATAATAGTTACTGAAAATACTGTGACAGGTAAAGTTCAAATCCGACCGCGACGTGATGGTGAAATATTTCACTACTGGTCGGAATCTAACGATAGCCTCAGCAACCTTCATATACATCGCTGGAATCATTTATTATTTCATTCTACCGTGGTGTTACGAGCACAAGATCGGCAACCGAACCGTCCGGCCGCTCGTGTTTCAGACTTACAGTGGATTCCCTCATCTCCAAATAACTCCCTTGTACGAAGTTGTGTATTTAACTAATTGCGTATGCGGATACGCAATATTGTCGGTGTCAGCGGGTGCATGCGGATTGGCCTCTCTGTTTGCTACTCACGCATGCGCACAAATTGAAATAATTATGACGCGATTGGAGGATCTCTTGGAGGGCAAAAACTTTGAGAAAGTTTCAAATATTAACCAACGAATCGGTACTATCATAAAAAACCACGTTCGAATAATAAGGTAAGCAATATTTTCCATCAAAGTCTGCAATATTTTATAAACTCTCGCACCTCAAAGCGATGCATATTAAACTTCAACTGATACTTTTGACACTAACTTACTTTTTAGAAGTAACTGGTTACTGTTATCGCTATTTACTTCAAAGAAAGCTCGTTATCATTATCGTCACTTAATAAGTAACAAGTCGTTACAATATCCGTCACATATTTTAAATAATTTTTAGCGAGTTTTTTTTTTTTTAGAATGATTCGTGTCGCAATTTTATTGTAATATGATTACGTTACCTTAACATAAAAATAGCTTGCAATAAGTAACGCGTTACTTTTCAAGTGAAACCTGAGAGACAAACGCAACAGATGGTTTGAATCAACCATTGCTACGCTTCGATGTGCGGTGCAGTTACGTATTAAATGATGTGAGCGGACTATTAAAATGATTAACCTAATTTTAACAATTATATATAATATACAGTGTCTCAACGTAAGAAAGCACCTAAATATCTCTTTTGTTTTTAATGATATGAAAAATGTTTAGAATACGAGAATGGTTTCGAAGGAGGAATACCATGTAAGGAATATTTCTTCACATTTTTTTTCACATTTTTTAACACATCTTATAATATTCAAAATAAAAGAGATATTTAAATGTTTTCCTTATATTAGGACACTCTGTATATCTTCATAGTTTGTATGGTCAAATGAATATGCATCGTCAAATGATTATGAGATAAGAATAAATGAGATATTATAATCAACTATTCTTGTACAAATTAGAGTGACTTATTACAGATTTATAGCCGTTGTGGATGAAATGATACAGGCAGTGTGTTTAGTGGAGTTTATAGGTTGCTTATGCGTTATCTGTTTGGTTGAGTACTATTGTATAGCGGTGCGTTAATGTACATTAGAAATGGTATGATAGAAAGTAGAAATTACAAATTTTTTAAGTGGAAGATTTATAAAGAAACTTTTCCATATTTATAATATGTCAGGATTGGAAAGCAAATGATATAGTTAGTGTGGTATCTTACCTTTTGTTCCTCATTGCATTTTGCTTCAACGTTTACATAATGTGCTATATCGGCGAAACTCTCATGGAAAAGGTACTACTGCTTCACATGACTTCATTTCCGCCGTTTGTTCAGTAATCCTTTGCAATTGATTTTCCAGAGCGGCAACATTGGATTGGTATGTTATATGATCAGTTGGTACGAGTTACCGCCAAAAATATCTCGCGACCTTATAATGATAATCTCCATGTTCTGTCATCCTGTAAAGTTAAGTGCCGGTAAAATGGCGGATTTATCGTTAACGACTTATGGAAATGTAAGGCACTACAAATTTATTGTGACTCTATCTTTCACTTAAAATTCGACATTAAATAATAATCCTGAAAATAAACTAATAATCTGATAATTATTTGATGATACTTTCAAAGTAAATGACTTATACTATAATGGACAAGCATTAATTTTATTCGAAAACAACTTATAGCTAAAAAAATGTTTCATATATTATCTTAGTACGGTCTTTTTAGATATTGAAAACCACTCTGGCGTATTTGAGCTTCCTCCGGAACTTAGCAGTGTAAGTAGTATTGCAAAAATGTGAAAAATATGTAAAAGAATTATTTTCAATCTGACTTAGAATTCTTACCTCAACTGTTTGTTGTAGAAAAATGCTTATAATAATATATTCATATATTAGATGTGCCTTCGTTTCCTTTTTCCTAGTAACACTATTTCCACCTGTAAGTGAAAAAATTAAAAAGAATGTTAAGTCAAATACATCCAAACACATTAAATTACTTTTCTTCAAATCGTACATGTAAAATACGAGCTATGAATGTCGCACTATCCTCGTACGGTCTACATAGCTCGGAGAATGCAAACAATATAACGATCTTGCATTTGCTGATCGTCACATGGGTTTGCGTTTGCGACCTGCGTTTTGCGTTCCTCGAACAATATAAACAGGACGTTAGATTGACTTTCGCGTCTTTAGGCCCGCGAGCAGGCAAATGTTCCCCAGGTAACGTCACCGATACGGACGATACAACGTTATCCGCACATGTTCGATCCTACATACATCGCTGCATGCGGAAGGATGTGTGCAACACAAGCGCATGTCCGGTGTGCTTCTGCAATCAATGTCGCGCTTCCGAGCCGCGCAGTCTTTGGCCTACTTCGACAACGGAAGCATGCGAAGTGCACGAAACGAAGCCGCGACGTCGCGGAACTCCAACTATCAGCAAGACATACAATACGTCTTCAAGCCGAATACATTGATCCTTGGCATTATCGGTATCTGGCCTGTTACGATCCGCGGTATCGGACGATTCGCGTCGAACTTCGCGATCGCGTTCTTCAACATTGTGCTGATCTTTACGATTATCCCTTGCATCATGCACATCATATACGACGAGAAGGATACCCTCCTGAGAATGAAGCTCGGCGGTCTGCAGAGCTTCTGCCTCTCCACGATGCTCAAGTACTGCATTCTCTCGATCTACCGATCGAAGATTCTGTACTGCATCGAATACGTGAAGAACGACTGGTGGCAGGTCAGTCTCACTATATCTAATATGAATTCATGTAACGTGGCAGAATTTGTCGCGGGATGCTGACACACGACATGTATTTGGATCGAGGAAAATGCACGACGCAAGAAGTTAAGAAAGTCATTTGAATTTTAGAATAATTCCTTCTATCAAAACGATGATTTCCATTGCAATTGATTGTAATGAGACAGATATTTCTGTTTGAACATTAAAACGCCAAATGTGTAGTTAATTAAATTTTCCTTTCACCTGTGTTAAGTAAAGAGATTTATTATTTAGGCGATAATAAAAGACGATTGCTGTATTATGCAATTAACAAGTAGGATTGATTGTGTCGTTCGTGTGTTCGCAAATAAAAATTACTCCAAATACTGTGACAGGTGAAGTACGCGTCTGATCGCGAACTAATGTTGAGGTACGCCGCCACCGGTCGAAATTTAACAATAGCCTCCGCGGCTTTCATATACATCGCAAATTTCATTTATTATTTGATTCTACCGTGGTGTTACGAGCACAAAATCGGCAACCAAACGTTCCGGCCGCTCGTGTTCCCGACTTACAGTGGATTCCGTCAGTCCCAGATAAGTCCGGTGTATGAAATTATGTACTTAACTAACTGTATATGCGGATATACAATATCTTCGGTGATAGCGGGTGCTTGCGGACTGGCTGCTCTGTTCGCCACCCATGCATGTGCCCAAATCCAAATAATCATGACGCGATTGGAAAACCTTCTGGACGGCAAAAATTTCGAGAAGATCCCGCATGTTCATCAACGACTCGCTGCCATCGTGAAAGATCACGTTCGAATAATCAAGTGAGTAATGCTTTGCCATCAGAACGCGATATTGTTTAAACTCTTTCAATTGAAAACTGCTGCCTCTTGCCTCACGTATTTTTAAGTTATATTGAAAAAGAAAATCTGTTTCTGCCTGTGAATATTCTGCATCATTTTTTGCATTTACATCTTTTTACGATTACATAAAACCAAATTTATAACGGTACAAATAATGCGTTGCTTCTTCACACTGAAAGAGACAGACGCAACAGATGGTTAGTACGAACCACTGTTACGCTTCAATGCGCAGTACAGTTACGTATCGGACGTTACACAGAACATCAATATGATTATCTGATCTACGCTTATTTATAATAAACATTTTTGTATTAAGTTGGTACATACGAAATGTCGGATTTTTAAGTGAATATATAAAACTGCATATCTTCTTGCATATCTTTCAAAAGTTGTTTATTTAATCAAAATATGCTCCATTTGCTTGAATATACTTTTCCCAACGAAATTTTAATGCATAAATGCCTGTCTTAAAGAAATTCTGATCTTTGGAATCAATAAACTCTGATATGGAATTTTTCAGACCGCCTCCATTTTCATAGTGTTTAGTCTGTAAAACAATTCTAAATGTTAAAAAAAATGAAAGTCGGTTGGCGAAAGATCTGGTGAATAAGCTGAGTGTTGCAAAATTTCATATTTTAACTCATTTAATTTTGCAATCGTTTTGTACGACGTATGCGGCCGAGCGTTGTCGTGAAGAAATATTGGGCGGTACCCACTTATCCATTTTTTTCACCTTGCTAATTTCAGAAAGGTGTCGCAATATTGTTGTATGGTCGACTTGCATTCTGATAGCAAGTTCCCTTGTAGATACAGTTGGATTCGTTTCCACCAATGCTTACATTCATCATTATTCACAGACGTTTTGGGTCTTCCACGCGGTTCATTTTGTAGGGAAAAATCACCAGACCGAAATTTTTCGAAACAACGCTGCACTTTTCGTTCGTTAACAATATTCTCCCCAAACGCCTGGTTTATATTGCATGTAGCTTTTGCAGCATTATTGCCAAGTTTATACTCATATAAAAAAATTACACGAATATCGATTATGTCGACGACATCGACGAATATCGGTTGAATTCATATCTGTACAAAATTCAAAACAGATAACAAAAGGGCACACTTTTGAAAAAATCTTCTTTGTTAAAATATGACTCTGGCAATGGGCAATACGACTGTAAAAGAGGTTATGCCAAAAACGAAAGCATAACGAAAGCAGAGAGACAAACGTTCACATGTAAAGAAAATCCGACATTTCATATGCACCAACCTAATAGGTAGTAATAGAATGTGCTTCATCAAATGATTATGAGATAAGAATAAACGAGATATTATAATCAAGTATTCTCGCACAAACTAGAATGACTTATTTCAGATTTGCCACCATTGTGGAGGAAATTTTACAAGAAGTGTGTTTAGTTGAGTTTACTAGTTGTTTATGCTTTATCTGTTTAGTTGAGTACTACTGTATACAGGTATGTTAATATACCTTACACAAAAATACCATAAAATAACGTTACATATTATAAGTTACCCGTGGCAAAGAAATTTGTAGCAACATAATGCTGCAATGTTACAACAATGTTAACAACGTTGTAGCAATGTTGCTGCAAGTTTCTGTACTGCATGGATACGTATTACGAGTAAAAATGTTTTAAACGGAAGTCTTATGAACAGAATTTTTCACATTTATGTGTCAGGATTGGAAAGTGAATGATAATCTTAGCCTGATGACTTACTTTATGTTCTTCGTTTCATTGTGCTCCAATATATATATATTATGCTACATTGGCGAACTTCTCATGGAAAAGGTACTTTGCTTCTAACGATATAATTTTTACCGCTTGTTGAGTAAGCAATCGCGATTGATGTTGTAGAGCAACCAAATAGGATTGATATGTTATATGATCAATTGGTACGATCTAACACCGACAGTAGCTCGGGATCTTATATTGATAGTAGCCATGGCCAGCCATCCTATAAAGTTAAGTGCCGGTGGAATGGCAGATCTCTCATTAGCGACTTTCGGGAACGTAAGACATTACTATCTATTGTGATTCTATATTTCACTTAAAACTTGATACAAAATAATTCTAAACAAAATGCTATTTATAGCAGAAAAGAATTTCACGTTTATTTTCTTAACACGGACTTTTTAGATATTAAAGACCACCCTGGCGTATTTGAGCTTCCTCCGAAATTTAGTAGAGATTTAAATTACAACCATAAAATGTGAGAAATATGTGAAAGAATTATTTTCAATCTGCTTTAACTCAGCTGCTTGTTGTAGAAAAATGCTGTAAAAATAAGATTGCTCATAATAATATCATATTCATACCAAATGTCTAAATATCTCGATTTCCTTTCCCCTGGTAACCTGCAAGCACGAAAGTTAAGGAGAATTTTGCGCCCAATCTATCCAAACGTAATAAATTATTTTTTAAATCATGTATTTGAAATAAAAAATTATAAATGTCACGCTTAACTTGATATCAGTCATAAACGCGCTACATGTAAATACATTGAACTGACTCACGCTTTTAGCTCTGCGAGCGACCAAATGTTCTCTGGATAATGTCATCGTTGCAGATGATACAGTGTTATCCGCACACGGTCGATCCTGTAGGCACTGTAGGTGGAAGGATGTATGCGGCGTCACGCAAGCGCATGTCTGGTTGCTTTGCAATCAATGCCGCACTCGCAGACCCGTGCAGTCTTCGGCCTACTTCGATTCCGTGAACATGCAAAACGCGCGAAACAAACGCGCGGCCTTACAAAATTCCTGTTACCAACGAGACATACGATATGTATTTAAATTGAATACCTGGATCCTCGGTTTGATCGGTATCTGGCCAGGTATCGGGCGATACGCGTCGAACATCGCGATCGCGTTCTTCAACTTTGTGTTGATCTTCACGGCGGTTCCTAGTCTTCTGCACATCATATATGACCAAAAGGATATCAATCTGAGGCTGAAGCTCGGCGGCCTCCTGAGCTTCTGCCTCACCGCGATGACCAAGTACTATATCCTCACGATACATCGACCGAAGATTTTATACTGCATCGGATACGTGAAGAACGACTGGTGGCAGGTCGGTGTTATTTTACCTGGTAGAACCTGTCGAATTCGTGTAACGTAGCGAAATTTGTTGCGGGACGCTGACACGGTGATCGTATATCTGGGTGATAGGAAATGCGCGACGCGAAAAATCGAAAGAGGCGTTTAAATTTTTAACGATTCCTCCTTTCGGAACATTATTAATACTCGTTGCAATTTATAAAGCGCATCTATATATTGCACATGATTGTAACGCAACAGCTATTGTATTTAACATATCGTTGGACACTAAAACGTCGAAAGTGCAGTTAATTAAATTTTTTCTTCACCTGCATTATATAGAGAATTATAATCCAGAAAGTAAAACACGATCGCTACAATGTTGAATTGATAGACGGAATCTATTCTTTCTCTCGTATATTCGTCAATAAAAGTTACTGAAAATGCTGTGACAGGTGAAGTTCAAGTCCGACCGCGAACTGATGCTGAGGTACGCTACCACCGGTCGTAATCTAACGATGACCTGTGCATTTATCATATACATCGCCGGTGTTGTTTTTTACTTAATTCTACCGTGGTGTCAGGAGTACAAAGTCGACAATCAAACCGTCCGGCCGCTCGTATTCCCGACTTATAGCGGATTCCATCAGTCCCAGATTAGCCCGTTGTACGAAATCCTGTATTTATCTAACTGCTTGTGCGGTTACACAATGCTGTCGGTGACATCTGGTACATGCGGACTGGCCGCACTGTTTGCCACCCATGCATGTTCCCAGATCCATATAATCATGACGCGATTGGAATACCTCTTAGACGGCAAAAACGAAAAATTTCGCAACGTTCGACAACAGCTCACTGCAATTGTGAAAGACCACATTCGAATTATAAAGTAAGTAATGTATTCTTCCATATAATACTCTTCCGTCAGTCTGCAATATTTTATAAACCCTCGTATCTTAAAAAGTGATGCCTATTAAATTTCAACTAATATTTTTAAATTATATTTAATAACAAAATATAATTCTTAACATGTGTGTGTATGTGTGTAGATATTCTGTATTATTTCATTGCCTTTATTTCCTTGTTGTTTTACCTCATACATTGTCTATGCGGCTTGTTGGATGTTCCCTCCAGTTGCTTGTCAAAATTATTATATAAATTAAGAAAATTACTTAGAATTCCAAGAGGAGAAAATATAACTGAAAGCAAACGGGCGGACGATTAAAATAGGATTATGATCATATTATAATATTTTTTATACAATAATATTATACAATGTTACTGAAAATCTGGAATTCTAATAAAAAAAAACTATTAATGATTTAATTTTTGTCGGAGATATTTAATTCAAGTTCGTATTGGAGAAATTAATAATGCATTGTATTTGAGCCATAGAACTTGCCTAATTTTTATTATTTCAACATGTAAAGAATATAGTAGAAAGAGACAAAAAGAAGAAGTTACTTTTTAAATGTAAATATATGTTAAATTGTATTTCCGCACTGTTATCACATGTTTAAAAAACGGCTTGTTACCAATATTGCCACTTAACAAGTAATAAACCATTATAATCTCTATTACCTATTTTAAACAACAGAAGCAACAGAATGTGCACATAAATCAAATGACTATGAAATAAAAATTAGCGAAACATTATAATTAAGTACTTTCGTACAAACTAGAGTGAATTATTGCAGATTTACAAACGTTGTGGAGGAAATTTTACAAGAAGTGTGTTTGGTGGAATTTACTAGTTGCTTGTGCGTTATCTGTTTGCTCGAATACTACTGCATACTGGTGCGCTAATACACGTTAGAAGTAGTACAATAGAAAGTAGAAATTAGGAGTAAAAATTTTTTTTAACGGAAGTGTTGTAAAGAGAATTTCTTACATTTATAATATGTCAGGATTGGAAAGCGAATGATAAGCTTAGTCTGGTGACTTACTTTATGTTCTTCGTTTCATTCTGCTTCAATATATACATATTATGCTACATTGGCGAACTTCTTATGGAAAAGGTATTCTTGCTTCAGACGATTACATTCCTGTCGCTTGTTGAATAAGCAATTGCGATTAATGTTGCAGAGCAGCCAAATTGGGTTGATGTGTTATATGATCAATTGGTACGAATTGCCGCCGAAAATAGCTCTCGATCTTATATTGATAATCGTCAAGTCCAGCCATCCTATAAAAATAAGTGCCGGTAGAATGGTGGATCTCTCATTAGCGACTTTTGGGAATGTAAGGCAATATATTTATTGTGAACTTTCATTAAAATTTGATATAAAACATTCGTCGTGTAAACAAAATAAACTTATAATCCCAGAATTATTCATTGGTGCTTTTACAGTAAATGATTTATACTGTAAACGATAATTTTATTGTAAAGAACCATTTATTTATAGCTAAAGGAAAAAATTCCATATATTATCTTGGCACGATTTTTTAGATATTGAAAACCACCCTGGTGCATTTGAGCTTCCTCAGGAACTTAGTAATGTAGATACAACTGCAAAATGTGAGAAGTGTATAAAAGAATTATTTTTAATTTGACTTAGAGAGAGAAAGAGAATTTATTTCAGTCGTTTGTTATAGAAAAATAGTGTGTATAGTGTAAATAATAAGCTTGCTTATATTCTCATATTCATATCAAATGAATATGCCTATATTTTCATTTCCTTTTCCCTAATAATTATTTCTATAAATTCAAAAGTTAAACGGAATTTTAAGTCAAATCTGTTTAAACGTAACAAGTTATTTTAATAATTCTAATTTTCAATAACGCTAATTGACGATTTTCACATGAAGGAGTTAATAAGTTGCATTACATTAGTCATACAATACGTTTAATTCTTAATGTTTCCTTTCATAAAGAACATAAAAGAGACGACAGAAATGCAACAGGTGTCAACGGGACTCCAATACTCTATAGTATTCTCTATAGTAAGCGGCGACGTAGAATATCGAGCAACGCGCTAACTGTCAGTACAATAGCCATTATTCACCTAACCTGTATTTACGTTGCGTACTTTCACTATGTAACGACTGAATGTGCAGTTATATGATTATACAGTAACAATGTACGAGGAAACTTATTCTTAACGCATCGTACAAACTAAGATGACACATTCTATATTTATAGCAACCGCAGTAAAACCATATTAAAAATTACTGCGTATTGAATTGAATTTTTTATATCATGTTAATATTAACAAGCGGATGATATGGTTTATCTCTTTACGTAGTTTACTTGATTTTGACGTTCGTTTTAGGTGATACAAATTACTTCGGCGTACTTGATCTTCCTACGAACATTAATAACTTTATTAAAATAAATATAAGCGAAGTGATATTACAATACGTAGATTAATACTGGATAGAGTAAACAACAAAGAGTATTTTAAACTTGTCCAAAATTTCACTTCGGAATACGTTACATTGACATCTTCCACTTCCCAAATTCATTAACTTCACATTGACTTACCCTAATTTAGTTAACTAATTTCTTAAATCCATTTTCAACTGATCTAACTTGATTAAATTGGAACGGAAGAGTGGCAATGCTTCTACAATCTAAATCCACCGACATAATATAAAGTACAAAGTACACAACTTCTCGGTAACATTATCCACTTCACCTGTCAACCTATCAGGCGAAGGGATGATTGTAACGTCAGCACATGTCTAACGAACTCCAATCAGTATCGCGTCTTCACGTCGTGCAATCTTCATCGGAAGCTTTCATCGCGAATATGGGAATCTCACGCGATGGACAAGCGATGTCGTTGAACAAGTTACCAGCGAGATGTGCGATACATCTTCACGCCTAGCAGCTGGATTCTCGGCTCAATCGGCATCTGGCCGGTCACATTCCGAGGCATTGGACAACACATCCCCAAAATCGCTATCTTCATCTGTAATCTCGTACTAAGCTTCGCCATGGTGCTCTGCGCCCTACACATCATTTACAATCAGAAGGATTTCAACATAAGGCTCAAATTATCCGGACTCTTGGGCTTCTGCAGCAACGCGATGATAAAGTTTTTCGTTCTCATGATACGTCGTCCAAAAATACGAAAATGTATCGAGTATGTGAAGGACGATTGGTGGCAGGTTAGTGTTGTCTATACGTAAAATAAAAGGTGCGGAGGCTACGGATGGATGCTCTTTACAAGATGCTGAGAAGTGTTTTCGATCGCAAAAAAGCGCGCGACATGTGAAGCCGTTCCAAGTGATCTTTAAGTGATCGGTTTTTTTCTTTTCATTGAAGGAATAATTTCTGTTCCTTGTGTTAAAACAATGCTAAAACAGTTGTTATTTATATAAACGAAGCCATTTTAAAGAACCATCTTTACTTCTCCTTGTCGCTGCAGACCTGGCGGGCCATGCAATTGACAGTCGCAAGGATCAGCACCAGGATTGGATTAATATTACGAATTTTGTGAAGCACTCCTTAATATCTGAGAAGCTTTTATCGAAACAACTCCTTTATATATAATATAAGTAATTTATTACAATTCTAATAACATAAATATATATTGGTAACGTATAAAAATATATAAATAGAAGTTGCTACGATAAGAGCTATCAGATATTAACAAGCGTCATACAGGTTTCATAACTTTAAGTGACCTGAAGTTGTGAACATTGCGACTGTCAGTTGCAAGGTCCGCAGGGCTAATTGGAGCGGAAAAGGAAAAAAAAGAGGCCTTCGAAAATTGCCCCGTTTACAAATAATTCCAGGCACTGCACTAAAATAAACCTCTCGCGAAATCTCCTCTAAATTATTTCTTCCATCTCATAATAAATAATCAGTAGCAGTTAGTGCTGTTTGTTTCTCGATATAGATAGCATTATTGGAAATACTGTGACAAGTAAAGTTCAAGTCCGACCGCGAAAGCATGCTGAAGTATGCCGGCACCGGTCGTTATCTATCTTTAGTCAGCACGACTGTCATGTATTCCGCCGGCTTCATTTACCACTTAATGCCGTTTTGTATTGAGCATAAACTCGGTAACGAAACCATCAGACCGCTTGTGTACCCCATCTTATAGCGAATTCAGACATAGCCAGATAAGCCCGACATACGAAATCGTGTACGTGGCCCATTGTATGTGCGGGTATACTATATATTCGATCACAGCCGGGATGTGTGGACTGGCAGCGATATTTGCTACTCATGTTTGTGGCCAGATTCAAATGGTTTTGTCTCGACTGGAAGATCTCTTGGACGGTACAAGCTCTGAGCAAATTCCGAACGTCCAGCAACGAATTGCCGCTATTGTAAAAGTCCACGTTCAAATAATGAGGTAATATTGTGGAATATTTAGATAATCGCTTATAACAGAAACAACATTTGACCAGGCTGTGATTGTGATCTGACCGATAATGAATCGAGTTTTATACGCTAAACAACAATGTGCGAGGCGGTTTATTCTAATTTTATCGTACAAACTAGGACAATTTATTTCAGATTTGCGGCAATCGTGGAAGAATTTCTACAAGAAGTTTGTTTGATTGAATTTATTAGTTCCTTATGCACAATTTGTTTACTCGAGTATTACTGTATACTGGTGCGCTAATAATTTCTAGAAACATCTAATCCTTGGAATGTCGAAATTTTATCAAAGTAGTCGTATTTTTTATATTACGTCAGGATTGGCAAGCAAATGATAGGATTGGTGTGGTAACGTATTTTATGTTGTTCGTCTCATCCGTCTTTAACGTATTCATATTATGCTACATCGGCGAGCTCCTCACGGAA